TAATGAATTATTTAGAGAGAATAAAAATATGTGAAGTACACATGCCCAAAGTGACTTTAGTGTGTGTGAAGCAACACAGAGAATATTGCTCCTGGGACTCATTGTTGATAAAGGGAAATCTCAATCTATCAACATTTTGAGATTTGAACCTCTACATTAGAAGCAATAACAAATAAAAAAGAATAAGACTACATTTTTCTTCCACAGTCAAATTTAGAGAAAGTAATGTCTACTGATTTAATTAAGTTTCTCATCTGACATACCAATGCCTGTCAATTCCACTAGCTAACATTAGCTTTGCTAAAATTCATAAACAGCACATTAGTTTTTTTGAATTTACTAACATTTACATAATTTCATAAACTCTGACATTAGTATTTATCATTCTCAAGAACAGGTTTTCAGCTTTGTGGTCTGTAGACTGTATCTCACATACTTTAACAGTGTTGTTTCCCAAATAAGCACTATTGTTAACCTGCACAATACCTTATCCTAGTGTTTTTCTTGTCTGTTCTGAAGGATGAAAACTTGTCATTCTTGATTTGTTCCTAGCAACTCCATTGTAGGTCTTCTATTATGTACTATTTCCCCATTGATACCCTGACACATGACTTAATTGTAATACTTAGTCTGATGCCTCTTCAGTCTCATTTTTCAACTTAAACTCTATCTTGAGCCCCAGACTTATTTCTTGTGGATACTTTACAGGCATTTGAAACATAACTGGTCCCAAAGTAAATTCATTATGTATCCCTCTGCTTCTCTCCATTTACCCAAGTCAGAATTATCTTTGATCCCTACCTACCCTGCATTTTCCAGTACTCATCAACCTACAAATGTCATCTATTTACAACTTGAAAATAATTTATAGACATGTAAGTTGTTTATTTCTAAATTTCTACTGCCTTTTGATAGTAATCCAAAGCCACCACTGTCTTTCACCTGAATTTACTAACATTTACATAATTTCATAAACTCTTAAGCAGTCTACATCCTAATCCCCTTTTCCTCACAGCTGCCATAGAGATCATTTAAAAACACATAGTACATTGTCTGCTTAAAGCTTGTTAATGGTGTATTGAATTAGAATGGATTCTAAACTCTTTAAATGCCCTGCAAGGTTTTCATGATCTGTTTGCTTATCATTCTTGCTTCAGCTGGGCTTGAGCTCTTGCCTTGGGCTCACCTTCTGCTATATTCTCAAGCAGGTCTTCTTAACTCATCTTTTATAGTAGTTCCCTTTTTACTTGAAATATCATTCTCTTTTTTGTGATACTGTGTCATCTGTCTTTCAGGTCTCGGTATATTATTCCCCTAGGAGAACTTCATAGGATCTTGAGGCATTTAGGTTTCTATTTAATGCACTATTCCCCAGTGTTTGTAAATACCTTGTTAATTGTAATAATTCCCTCTTAGAAGAAAAGTTCCAGAGAAGCAGAGATTAAGTCAGTGTATTTACAGCATACACTCAGTACTCAGATTCAATAAATATTTATAGAGTGAATTAATAAATGAATGATTAAGAGAGAAAGTATTTAAAAGAATAGCTTTGGGTTTCCATATATTTGAATTATAGATAAAGAAAAATTTAGGTATTCTGATAAAGTTCACTAAATATGGTTTAATCCATTAGTAAGAGTAGACATCTTGACCAGACTTCAAAGTGGTTTCAACTTTTAGAATTTATAAGGCCTCTTACATACTCATTGAACCTATCCTTACATAAAATCTTCAGGCCCTTAATTTTCCTCAGGTGAAACTTTCAATACCCATTTTCAGAATCAGCCCCACTTTAATCACTAGACTAATCTCCATGTGAGGACAGAGGGATTTAAGGAATGCTATTCAAGTCCTCTCAGATGCATTGGGAATACAGCTTTGATTTCATTTCTATTATGGTGAACTTGTTCTATTTTGCTTCCCTGAATATATTTCTATATTAGAAATCTGCATACTTATATTAATCATCCAAGATTATTTCCTGGTTTTGTACTTATAGTCCTTCTAACTGGAAATGGACTGGTATTGGAACACATATCTCTGAAACCAGCTCTATGGCTATCCAGGAATTAAAATATCTCTGCCTTCAGAACATGAGACTGACATAGATAGACAAGGTTGATAACCCTTTAGCCTGACTAACCAAAAGAGAGAAAAGACCCAAATAAACAAAATCTGACATGAAAAATGATACCACCCAATCCTTCTAAAATCTGGAGGATTATTAGAAATTATTTTAAAAAGTTATACTTTAATAAACTAGAAAATCCAGAAGATATTGACAAATGTCTAAGCATATATGACTTATCCAAATTGAACCAGGAGGTTATAGAAAACCTAAACAGACTAATATAAAGCAATAAGTTTGAAGCAGCAATTAAAAGCCTTTCAACAAAGAAAAGCCTAGGACTAGCTGCATTTTCAGCTGAGTTGTATCAGACTTTTAAAAATGAACTAATGCCAATACTTCTCAAATTATTCCATGAAATTGAAAAGAAGTGAATATTGCCAAATTCATTCTATGAAACTAGTTTCACCCTGATACCAAAAACAGACAAAGACATATCAATAAAAGAAAACTTCAGACCAATATGACTGATAAACATACATACAAAAATCCTTGATAAAATATTAGCAAACTACATTCAATAACATAGTAAGAAGATAATATAACACGATAAAGTGGATTTCATCCCAGGGATACTAGGTTGGTTCAACATACATAAATCAATAAATTTAATTTATCATTTAAATAGAGTTAAGGACAAGAATCAACAGGGGATTCTCCAACAGGGGATTAATATCCAGAATATAGAAAGAACTCAAAAAATTTAACACACACACAAAAAATAAAAACCCAAATGACCCAATTAATAAATGAGCAAAAGAACAAAGCAAAAACTTCTCCAAAGAATACATAGAAATGGCCAATATGAAAGGGATGGAAACAGGCAGAACTGGGGTCTGAAGTGGAAGAAATTATATTCCATGAACATGTGATTATGTCAAAATAACCCCAATATATGTATAACTATAATGAAATAATAAAAAAATAAACTAAAATAAAATACCTTCTGCCTTTGACTCTGCACTTTGTTCTCTCTATATAATAAAGGTATGATGGCCACATAAGGGATCTCATTCTCCTCTGTCATACTCATTTATAATGACTATCCTCTTACACATCACCACACACTGCTTGATCCTATACACTTCTTTTGTTCTACCAATAAAAATAAAATTCCTCTCATATCTAAAGACAATTATTCCCTATAGCAAGAAAAATAATATTTCTGGCCTATCTTATTCTGCTTACTGAACCTTAGGATGTCTAGTTGTAGCCCAAAACATTAAAATTCACACTTAAATTCCAAATTTTCTGTGGTTTTATCCCCAATACACCTAATTTTAAGAGTCATTATGAATATCCCCCAATACAAAATTCTAGATTACGTACATGCACTTCTAGCTGGAGCATTCTGCATCAATGCATACTCTCCTCTTTTTAGATAGACAGGCCTAGGGAATGGCAGATCATGCTCCTCTGAACATATTTCTGGTTTCCGGTAATGGAGATTGGTAAAGGCTTTCAGACCCATGTCCTTTTAAAGAAACAAACAGAAAAAAAAAGAAAAGAAAGAAAGAAAAAAAACAAACAGAAAGTTCATTCCTTTCATGTAATACATACAAAAGGCTTATAGTATTGTAGTAATAAATAGATCTTAAATAAACATATTTTCTGTGCTAGCAATAGTATGGGATCATTCAGTGTCACCACTCTATTTGACTTAGGGAAAACTAATTTATAGGAAAATGACAATAATTATTATTTTTATGTGTTACTATTTTGCTAAGTGTTATACATCATTCTTCAATATTACTCATGAAATCAACACTAGCTAATTAACAGAAAAAGCATCCCCCACACACATACACACAATGGACACTGAGTAAATTGAAGAGTTGGGACTTGAGCTAACGTCTGTCTGATTCAATAGCCCTGTTCTTATACAACTGTGATTCTATTATACACATCCTTTCATACAACCCTCAGCATAGCTATTTTGTAGCCTAGGTATATATGGAATCCAGACTATATTTTAGCCTCTTGATTTGACTTTTTCTGCATAATATTTTTTGAGTGATATATTTGGGTGACTATCTTATTACTTCTAACCTGAAGCTTTATAATTTCAGCAAAATATTTTCAACAGAAAAGAGAAAACTCAAAAAATAATGTCTCATTTTATATAAGACAAGTTTGGAATATTGTATTAGCAAATTACTGAAACTAAATCTCAAATTAGGTGAGAAACAATTAAACCGGCATTATGAATACTAAAATGAAAATTGAGATGAAATATTTTGTAAAATCTTCAATGGTCTTACCCTGACAATATCATAGATGTCTCCATCTCCATAGTTAGTTTATAGGCATATAATACAAACCATTGTAGAACATATTCTTCTGAGGAATGCAAGGGTTCACCTTGCCATCATCTAGGTTGAGATCATGGTAGAAATAACCATATGGTTCTACGTTTGGAAGCAGGTTGTACACCTGTGTGGAAAAGCATATGTTTCTAAGTGGTTTAAATCACACCTATTATAACAACAAAATTGAAAAATTTTGTGTCATAATCATTTACTATTTTCCTCTTCTTTAAGAACAAGGGACTAATATTTAATCTGATTTTTTTAGTTGATTTATTATTTCAAAATAAGAAACCAACTTTATTTTAGGCAGTCAACATCATATTCACAAAAATTTTCCACCCTAGTGTAGAATTTTGGAGAGTATGAAAGAGTTTGTTGAGATCTAGCTCTTGATTAATCCAAAGCTTAATACATAAAGAATTCATTATTCTTATTAATAATGCTAAGTCTATTTCCAGGTCCAGAGGATAATATTAACTGCTTGATTCTAAATCTTCTCATTTAGCTTCATAAGAAAATACAAAATTTAAAAAAGAGCAAGTAATAATATCCTTGACTTATATCATTAACATGACTTAGACACAGAGAAAAATTCTATGATCTTCCAATTGTTAGTGGAAAATGAGAGCTCCTAATGACATTAAACATTTGAGGGTGCATAGAACTGAAGAGGGAAAGTTTGAGAGAATCATGAATAAAAGAAAATGACATGGAAATTAGAAGAAACACATTGAATCAACTCAAAATAAAGCCCAACATTTGTCCTGGAAAATAATTTAATCAAGAGAGGTGGGGTACTGACTATTGCAGACAGGGCAAATAAGGAGGAAAGGATGTAATGGGCTAACATTAAGGATACAACAGAAACAAAAGAAGCATTTTTCATTAAAAAATATTTTTGGCAAGGCACAGTGACACACCTTGTAATCCAAGGGGCTTGGGAAACTGAGGCAGGAGGATCCCAAGTTCAAGGTCAGCCTCAGAAACTTAATGAGGCCCTAAGCAACTCAGTGAGAACCTGTCTCTAAATAAAATATAAAAATGGGCTAGGGATATGGCTCAGTGGATAAGCACCTATGGATTCAATCCTGAGTACAAAAAAAATAAAGTATTTTTGTGAAATAACATAAAAAGTATTTTCACCTATGAACACTATCTATAAAAACTAAGAATTAGAAAAAAACAACTCCGTATAAAATTACTAGAAGAGAAATAAAAACTGCAAATCAAAACATTTCAGCTGATGAAACATCTCTACTCAAGTAATTAAGTAAATAAATAAATAGAGAAAAGCCATCTCCAAACACATCAGTATAAATGAAATGTTCACATGCTGGCATTTGGATATTTTAAAACACTGTGAATAAGAAATTTAATATAGAATAAAAATGGTGAAACAAAAAATAATAATAATAATTTAATGAACTCCAAAGTAGATGAAATAAACAAAAACATCAAATGCAAGTATGAAAGTACAAAAGACCTCAAGAGAAAATGATCACAAGAAAACTTTAAAGGCAGTTTTGGAGAAAAATAAAAGAATGAATTAAAACAGGTCAAAGGAAACATGGTTACATTGCAAAGCAGACAAAGTAGTTGTACTACATGGATGGAGTCTTTCAAGAAAGGGAAAAATTAAAATTTTAATGTTTAAATTATAATTCAAGATGAAATTTTAGAAATAAAAAATGTAGACTATATATTCCATGATTCTACTGGCAAAGCTTCAACCAAATAATAAATATTGAAGTATATTTTACTTAAACTACTAGATTTTACGTATTTAGAGGAATAAACCTTCAAAGCCTTCAGAGAAAAAGGTCAAATAACCTAGGACAAAAAATAAATTAGGCTAAAGTCAGAATTCTTAAATAATGTATTCAAAGCAAGGCAATATTGGAACTGTAATTCCAAGTAATGTAATGTATGAGCCAAGACTTTAATGTACAAGTCACTGTCATCATGTGTGAAAAAGTCTTTAGAAAATAAATTTGGAATATAAAGTCTTTTAGGGAATTCTAAGCCTATATGACCTTCTGAGGAAACCAGTAGAGAATGAGCTTTATGTAATCATGAGGTAATGGGGAAATTGGTAAAACATTACAGATAAGAGGACAAAGTCAGAATTTAAGCATTATATGTTCAAACAAGAAAAAGAAGCAACTATAAAATGAGACAAAAGGTGGTACCAAAATAGGCGGGTGGACCAATGGTACAGAATAGAGGACACAGAAACCAATCCACAAAACTACAACTATCTTATATTTGATAAAGGGGCTAAAAGCATGCAATGGAGGAAGGATAGCATCTTCAACAAATGGTGCTGGGAAAACTGGAAATC